GTGAGCAGCACTGCTGTGAACGAGGGTATGTAGGCTGTATCGGGATGAGTGAGCTGCTTGTTTTCCATGTAGTCCTACACGCGGAGCTGCTGGCTGCTGTGTTTAAACGTCTGCTGTGTTTGATGTCTGCTCCATGCCCAACGTCTGCTCTATGTTTAACGTCTGAGGAACCACATGCTGTTCCCACAGTAACCTCATCGTCTCACATCTGTGCATGCACACTTCCCAAATTTCCCCCACATCCTCATGCAGTTTTTTTTTTTTTTACTAGCCATTCTAACGGGTATGGGGTAATATCTTCTTGTGCTTTTTTCATGATTTATTTGTTTATTAGAGAGAAAGGGAGAAACAGAAATATCCCATCCATGAATACATTATCCTAATGACCACAATGACCAGAGCTGAGCCATTCTGAAGCCAGGAGCCAAAAGCCTCCTCTGGGTCTCTCATGTGGGTTCAGGATTCCGAGGCCTCTACTGCTTTCCCAGGCCATGAGCAGGGAGCTGGATGGGAAGTGGAGCATCTGGGAATTCACAGAATGGCCCCTTCTTGAGGTTTTTATTTGCATTTCACTAATATTAAGGAGGCTGAGCATAAAACCATGATGCTTTGTTAGGCCCACCCATCTGGCCTCCGGTCCAAGTCCTAGCTGTTCCCTATCTGATCCAGCTCCCTGCTAATGACCTGGGAGAGCAGTAGCAGAAGGCCCAATTACTTGGGACCCTGCAATCAAGATGGGAGGCCCAGAAGAAGCTTCTGGATTTGGCCTGACCCAGCCCTGGCCATTGTGACCACTCTCTCCCTCTTTTTAAAGATTTATTTATTTTTATTATAAAGGTGGATTTACAGGGAGGAGAGACAGAGAGAAAAATCTTCCATCTCGTGGTTCACTCCCCAAATGGCCACAATGGCCAGAGTTGAGCCAATCTGAAGGCGGGAACTGGGAGCTTCTTCCAGGTCTCCCATGCAGGTGCAGGGTTCCAAGGCTTTGGGCCATTCTGTACTGCTTTCCCAGGCCACAGCAGGGACCTGGGTGGGAAGTTGGAGCTGCCAGGTCACAAATGGGCACCCATATGGAATCCAGGCACTAACAAGGTGGAAGATTAGCTAATCGAGCCATCATGCCACGCCTATCTCCGTTCTTTCTTTCAAATACATTTTTTGTTTGTTTAATCTTTATAATTTGGAAGATCACTCATAGAAAATAATTCCAAGTTTTTTATCAATGTGCTTGCCAACAATTGCTCTTTTTCTAAGTATCCTAGTCTGTTGTTAAAAAAAATATATAAAAATAAATAAAAGATAACGGGGCAGGTATTTGTGGAGCAGTTAAGACCCCTCTTGGGTGCTTATAGCCCATGCCCGAGTGCCTGGGTGCAGGTCCTGACACTGCTTCTGACCCCAGCTCCCTGCCTCCAAGCATCCATGAGGCAGCAGGTGACCACAGAGACCTGGATGTAGTTTATTTCTCCTGGTTTCTGCCTAACCTAGCCCTGGCTCTTTGCAGGCATGGTGTCTGTGTGTGCGAAGCAGAGGAGGAAAGATCTCTGTCTTTCACATAAATGCACTTTTTTTAAAGTGGAGTTCAGTCTCAGAACTGGCACAGAAAGGCCGTGTGAGACCACAATCAGAAGTCAGCTCAGGGGACCCTCCTCAGAAATCCCATCAGCCAGCCTCCCCTGCGGCCCCTGTGGTCTCTTCCCAAGGAAAGCCGGCGCAAGTGCATCTTGGAGTCCAAGCCGGGTGGCTAGCACCCCCTGCTGGCTGCATGCCTGCATGCCTGTATGCAGGGCCCAGCTCCAAGGGACCTTGTCCCCCTGGTCCCTGGCTCTGGAGTGCCGGGGGTGGGGCAGGAGGTCTGGCCAGGTCCCTGCCAAGCAAAGGATCTTGTGGCTACCATATCTACTTCACGACCACACTGCCCAGATGCCACACCAATTCAGTCCAAACCCTTCCTTCCCAGGGCACCTGCCAGAGGGAGTAAAGAAGGCACTGGGAGCCTGAGTTCCCACCAGGCAGGGCTAGGAGGCAGGACAGCCTGCTGAAAGCGTTGTTTTTTCACCTCTGGCATGCACCTATGCATCTAGACCTTTGGTGGGTGCAGGAGGGAATACGGTTCCAGCTCTGCAGCCATGTCTCAGCCTTGATAAAGGGGACAGGTTTCTTCAGAGGAATGGGGGAATATTTGGAACTAATGATGATGAAGGTTGCATGACAATGTTACAAATACCACCGAGATGCCCTCTTTAGGCTGGTGCAGACCTGCTGAGCTGTCTAAGCCAGACCTGGCCCAGGATGCAGCATGCCTCTGGCTGCATCCTCCATGACCAAAGCCCAGAGGGAGCTGGCCAGCCGCTAGGGCTCCAGAGGGAAGGTCCTGGTGACTGGGCTTTCAGTGCATGCTGCACTGAGCTCATTCTGAACAGAAAAGGGGCTCCTGGGGGCCCCCACTTCAAGGTGTCCTTCCTGTTCCAGAAGTGGGTGCAGATGATGGGTCAGACGCCATCCCCTTTATCGTGTTTGGGCCAAATATTTGTCTGCCCAGGCTTCTGGCTCCTTTGCCAGCTGTGCAGACCTTAGAAAGGTCAGATAGGCCTGGGGAGGGGGGCAGCTGCCCCTTTTGTCCCTCTGCTTTGGAACAGCCAGTGTTTCCCATGTGCAGGGCCCATGGCTAACCAGGTAAGGCAAGCTCAGCCGGCCCTGCAGCCAACCTGCAGCAGGCCTGGGCCTGTGGCTCGAATGTTCCTTCACCTGCTTCTACAGAAGTCCCTGCATGTAGGCTGCTTTGCTGATGGGATGCGAGCTCCAGGCTGCTGTCACATCAGGTAAGGCCCTTCTGTACTGCTCCTCTTTGGGGGAAGCGGGGTGTAGAGGCTGCAAACACTGGAATCGGAGAACTGGGTTCCAGTTCCAGCTCTGACCCTGGCTCACTGGGCTGGGCCATGTGCAGAATGGGGACTGGACAGCAGGTTAAACTGCTGCCTGGGATACCCAGGTCCTGTGCTTAGGTGTGATTGGAGCTGCCTGCTCATGTGCCTGGCAGTCTAAGATGGCCTGTTTACCTGGGCCCCTGCCACCTGTGTGGGAGTTTCAGGAACCCGGCTGACCTAGCTCCAGCTGTTGCGAGCATTTGGGAGTGAACCAGTAGATGGAAAGTCTGTTTTCCTTTAAAGTGGAATCAATTCTACTGTGGTGAGGATTAAACATTTCCCACCTTCCCTTCCACCTCACTTCCCTCTGCTGCCCAACTCGCTAGCATCACAGTACCAGTGATGGCCACGAGGTGGCGGCTACCCAGGTTCACTCCTCGAGGTTGCTGCTTGCAGATCGTGGTGGATTGCTTTTTTTATTCAAGATTTATTTTTATCTACTTAAAAAGTAGAGTTACAGGGGGAGGAGGGAAGAGATAGAGGGGTCTTCTATTCACTGGTTCACTCCCTAAGTGACCACAACGGCCAGGCTGGTAACAGGTTCTTCTCCCGGATCTCCCATGTGGGCATAGGGGCTCAAGGATTTGGGCCATCCTCTGCTGCTTTCCCAGGCCACGAGCAGGGAGCCGGATTGGAAGTGGACCAGATTGGAAGTGGACCAGCTGACACGGGAACAGAAACCCAAATGGGACACAGTGCTGGTTCTTGGATTTCCTTTTTCTACTTTAACAATTTACTTTTTTTTTTTTAAAGATTTATTTTTATTATTTTTTTCATTGGAAAGGCGGATATACAGAGAGGAGAGACAGAGAGGAAGATCTTCCGTCCGATGATTCACTCCCCAAGTGAGCGCAACGGTAGATGCTATGCCGATCCAAAGCCAGGAGCCTCTTCCGGGTCTCCCACGCGGGTGCAGGTTCCCAAAGCTTTGGGCCGTCCTCGCCTGCTTTCCCAGGCCACAGGCAGGGAGCTGGAAGGGAAGCGGGGCTGCCGGGATTAGAACCGGCGCCCATATGGGATCCCGGGTGTGCAAGGCGAGGACCTTAACCACTGCGCCACCGCGCCGGGCCCTACGATTTACTTTTAATATTTTGGATCATATAAGAAAAGGCTTCAAAACTCCCAGCAAGACGCCCACCCCCTCTGCCACTGTAATTCCCAAGTGTGCCAGGCGGGTGGAGGGCTTGTGAACTCCCCTCCTCCTGGGCAGGGCTCTCAGGCCCCTCCAGCCTTCCAGGGCTCCCACAGCCCCAACCAGGGCTGGCAGGTGCAGGACAGATTTCGGCATCCTAAGATCTTCGGCTACCCGAGACCCACCTGCTCCCTCTGGAATTCTTGTGGAGCAATGCCCAATCTGACCCTGCAGTTAAGTGGGCAGCAGTTTGCTGGGTTTGACAGGCTTGTTCTGTCAGGTGGCCAGATCTCCAGATGGCCCTCTTCCTCCCCAAGGACTCCGAGGGGTTCCTGGTGGCCCCACTAGTGGCTAGGTGGCCTTCCAAGGGGGGTTGGGATTCTGGCTGAGCCCATGCAGCAGAGGGCAAACACACTGTGGTCACCTGGAGCTTGGGCGTCGCTCTGTTCCAGTGATGGCAGCGGCCTCTGGACCAGCTGTCAAATGCAGCAAGGCCTGGGACTCCACATTCTGAGAAGTGGCAGGGGACGGTGGTGGATGGCTGGAGGAGGCCCTCCTTTGCCCTGTCACCGCAGCTCCATGCGAACCACAGGTCTGCCCTTTGTATCTCTGCTGCTCCCAGGAGACTGACAGGTTGAGAGGGTATGGCAAGTGGCAGCCCCCAGCCCCCTCCCTCCCTTGGGCCTGGCTGGTTGAGTACGAGGTGGGGATGTGGGTCATTTGGGGCTGTGTTACGGGGTGGTTAAGGAAGATGCTGGGCCCAGGGGTGGAGACTCCCGAAGGGCAGTGGGTACCTAGTCCTGGTCCAGAATCAGCCCCAGCCTCACTCACACCCCACAGAACACCTCAGGGCCAACTCATTTTTTTCAAAACATATATTCCCACTGCTTTGGTACATCTTGGAGCACCTCCGTCAGAATGCCTCAGGAATGTGTAGGACCCCAACCCTGCCCTCTTCTAGGCCTTTGCCACAAGGCCCCGCACAGCTTGGGCGATGGCATCTTTGTCAATGCCAAACATCTTGAGCAGCTCGGCTGGCTTCCCACTCCTTGGCACCTGGGCAACAGCCAGGCGGGTGACAGTGATGCCAGGTTCGCCTACTACGGCAGCGGACACGGCCTCCCCTATGCCACCTGGGTGGAGGAAAGCAGACAGGAGTCAGATGAGCGTGGTCTCGGGGTGAGCAGAGGCTAAGCTGGCCACCACCTTTCTGTTGTGACCAGGACAGACACCACTCATCAAGCACAGCACTTGTGGCTATGTAGACACTCAGCATGGATTCTCCAGCTGGGTTCTTTAGAACAGCCCCAACCTTCTGCCATCTAAGCAGACAGGACAGGGCTCATCTTCCCGGGGCTTAGACACAGAAGGGAGATCTCGGATGCCCAAGCCCCTGTGTCCGCCTCTTCCTTACCTTCATAGTAGTGGTCCTCCACCGTAAGGATCCTGCCCTTGGTGGCACGGGCACTCTCCAGGATGAGCTTCTTGTCCAGTGGCTTGATGGTAAAAGGGTCCACTATGCGGATGGTGATTCTCTCTGTAGAGGACGGGACACGTTCTCAGAGATGTCCCCCCAGCCAAGAGCTCAGGCCTGGCCCCGACCCAGGCAGACTCAGCTGTGGCCACCAGAGAGCCTGCACTAACCCCTGCCCTCTGCCCACGGGGGAGCCGGTGTCCTCCAGCTCTCAGCACCCACTCACCCACCCACCTCCTCCAGTGACTTCCTCCTGGCCTGTGGGACCTCAAGCTAGCTGTGCGACTGGGGACTGTCCATTTTACAAAAGGGACCAGAGGACCCATGGATTTTGGTGTCTGAGGGTGGTTCAAGGACATGGAGGGTTGACTGTATTTTTACATACAGATGAGTAAACTGAGGCAGGGTGATAATAAATTAACCAGGGCCCAAGCTGAGCTGTGACTCTAGTTCCACTGGCAAGTGCCAGGTGGTGGCTCAAGTTCACATCACAGCCATTATGTCACATGGATCGTCTTGTTCTTGCACCCAGCCCGTGGCATCTCGGCCCCCTTCTCCTCACCTTTCTTGAGCACCTCGGCGGCGGCCAAGGCCTCGTGCAGGGTCACCCCAGCTCCGATCACGGTCACCTGGTCATCCTTGTTCCTCTGTACCACCTGGGGGTGCCACAGGGACCAGTGAGGTGGCTGGGAGTCTGAGAAGGGCAGGTCCAGGCCTGGGCCCGCAGAAGGGTCTCACTGGGGGTAGGAAAGGCACCGACCTTGGCCTGTCCGATCTGGAAGTCCTCGTTGTTATTGTAGATGATGGCATTCTCTGGGCGGCTGGTCCGGATGAAGCAGATGCCCTGCCAGGGGGAGGGACGGGCCGGAACCCAGAGATGACACGGGGCCAGCGCCTCTCTGGAGGAGCCGGCCCGCCTCCAGCCCAGGGCATCTAGTGGTCTCTGCCTCCTGGCTACTCCAGCAGGGAAGTGGACACGCTGTCCTCTGCAGCCTACACCTTGCTCCTCAAGGAAGCTGCCCACAGACACAGGGCAACTTCCCACAGGAGAAGCTTGCCATCTGCCAAGGTGCATTCCCCACCCCAGTGCACCTGTCGGGCAGGGCACCTGCTCTGACAGTGGGGCCATGGCAGTGTAGCTCCTGCTGGGGACCTTGGGACTAGGCTCATAGCTTTCCTGTCTCAAGTGGGGGCAAAGCAGACAGGTTTTACCCACCAGACTGGGAGAGGCAGCCAGAGCTCTCGGCAGAGAAGGAGTATGGTGGCAGCTAGTAATGCCTGCCATGGTACTGCAAGTATTCTACAAGCAAGGCCAGGAAATGGCCCTTGGTGGCATGGGGCCTGGGGGAGTGAGTGACCAGCTCTGTGCCTGCACCCCAGCCTCTCTCTGAACCCCCTGGATCAGAGCCAGCTGCCACCCAGAGGAAAAATAGCAGTGGGACCAACCTTCGTATTGGCTGCTAACTCCACCGCCTTCTCAGTAGCAACTGCATCGCTTGGGTAAAAGACGGTTGACATGGGGAGGGAACGGAACATGGCCAGGTCTTCCAGGGCCATCTGGGAGGGCCCGTCTTCCCCTAGGGTGTGGGAAAGTAGATGCTGAGTAGAACACCCCCTGGCATCCCAGCCTCACCTCCTGCAGGTGGGGGATCTTGACTGACTCACCGATGGACACGCCGCAGTGAGAGCCGCACAGGTTGATGTTGCTCTCAGAAATGGCTGCCATGCGGATCTGGTCGAAGGACCGCGTGAGGAAGGCAGCAAAGGTGCTGCAGAAGGGCACCGTCCTGTTGCGTGTGGCACAGCCCACTGCGACACTCACCTGGAGGCAGGCAGGGAGGGTAGAGTTAGCCAGCGCTGGGGCACAGCAGGTAAAGCTGTGGCCACTGGGATGCCGGGTTCTGGTCCTGGCTGCTCTGCTTCTAAATCCAGCTCCCCGCTAACACACCTGTGCTTGGGTACCCGCCACCCATGTGGGAAAACAGGATGGAGTTCCCGGCTCCGACCTGGCCCAGTCCTGGCTGTTACAGCCATTTGGGGGAGTGATCTAGCAGATGGGGGGCTCACGCACCTCTTCCCACCCATCCTCCCCCACAGCACAGTGAGGAGTCCTGTGCCCAGACGCATCCTCCGATGCTGTAGGTGCAGTCACCAGTCCCAAGCCAGCTGCCTTCCCTGCAGCTCTGGCACCTGCCAGCTGACATCCTTAGCCTCTGAGGACCTCCACAGCCTGCAGGTGTAGCCTGAATGTGCAGGAACATCAGGACATAGCAGTGCCCCTGCTTCACAATCTCAGCCACCAACAGGGCTGTGTCCCTGCACGTGCCAGGGTCCAGCATCACCTCACCTCCACGCTCCTCAGGATAAGCAGAAAGGGCCCAGGGCAAAACAGGGCTCAGCAGACCTGGGCTGCTAAATCCATCACCTCTCTGGACACAGGCAAGACCCCCAAAGCTGGCTACTCAAGGTCAAGGCTGGACCCACCTATTCTCGGAGTTCCCCTAGACTGACCTACAGCCAGCACCTGTCCAGTGGGACGGGAAGGCTTCAGCCCGTCCCCTGTCCCCCTCAGCTCTCAAGCCTGCAACTGTGGCTGGATCAGCACCCACCATGTTCTGCTCGGCAATGTAGCACTCGATGAAGCGGTCAGGATGCTCCTTTTTGAAGAGCTCTGAGAAGGTGGAATTCTTGGTATCACCATCCAGGGCGATGATGCGGTCACTGCCGTGGCCCAGCTTGGCCAGGGCCTGTCCATATGCCTTGCGGGTGGCTATCTGTGGGGAGGTGAGACATGGGGGTAGAACAGGGAAGACCAACACAATGTTAGCTCCCCCAAGGCAGCCAACCACTGGGAGTCCCTCAAGTCTCTGTCTTCGAGGTCAACTTGAGCTGCCAAGGGTGTCCCAACAACCCCAACTTCCCCAGGCCTAAGACAAGAGGCGGATGTGACTGTGGGCAAAGCCCCTTGGAGTCCCTGCCCACTCATCCTGATTCCTCCAACAGCAAGGCACAAAGCCAGCCCAGAGCCCTTACTTTGTCCCCAACTTTGTAGTTGGGTGGGGAGGGCATGCGGATGTTGCTGATGTCCACTGAGGGGGCGTCCTCCTGCGGGGGGGTCGCCAGGATCTTTTTCTTGCTCTGAATCTGGTTGTAGATTTCTTGGATGACCTGATCGGCCATGTTTTTGGGCAGTGGCTTTCCGTGCCAGGACTCCTTATCTTCTATCCCTGCAGGTGCCACAAGAGAGCCAGGGTGAGGTGGGACGCTGCAACAGGGCCAGGGAGCTGTGGCAGGCAGCCTGGGGACAGAAACAGCCAAGAGACTTCCCTTGGGGAGGGGAGAGGAGATCATCGGAGACATGCAAGGCCACTGCCAAGGTCAGGTTTCGCCCTTGGTGATCCCTGCCTGGTCTTACAGGAGCCCACAGTGGGTGGTAGGAAGGAAGGAACCCATTGTTGCCATGTCCCCCAGACTTGGCTGTCCCTGCAGCATGAACAAAGCCAAGGACAGGGCAGGCCTCCCTGGAGCTCAGCATCCCCCCCGGCCACCAGGAGCAGGAGGGGCTCAGAGGACACCTGAGCAGGGGATGGGGCGCTAGCATAACACATGGACCAAGTCTACCTAGGCAGGCAGTGGGCAGAGAAGCTGATCTAGGGACTGGAATTCAGCCCCACCTCCACCCAGGCCACTGAATTTTTTCTACCTCCACCTCTAGTCCCACTGTCCCATCTTTAACGTGGGCAAGGGCCTGCCCTCTGGAGTCTTCCCCTAGGTGCCAGGGAACATTTTGTAGGCCTGGTGCCTTCTTCCCAATGCTTGTAGGGCAGCACTCCAGGACAGGATGGTAGGGGTAGAATCTGGGCACCGTGGTGATTCCTCCCACAGGCACACCAGAGGCCAGATCAGAGGCCCCCAGAAGGCAGTCCTTCCTCTCTGGAGCCTGGGATCCATGTAGTCCCCACCGCTACCCATGGGCCTCGCACTCCACTTGCCTGTGATTCCGCGGCCCTTGAAGGTCTTGGCGATGATGGCCGTGGGCTGGTGCTTGGCCTGCCCGAAGGCCTTGCACAGCTCCTCCACGCTGTGTCCATCCACGATGATGGCATGCCAGCTGAGGGCAGAGAGGGGAGATGCAGACGGTGAGGGGCTGGCCAGGGCCAGTGCCCAAGTGTTTCCTCCCACAGCTGTGGCTTGAGCTGGCAAGCCCAGAACATTCCTGTTTTCAATTTGGGTCTTGTTTTGTTCTCACATTATTTTCCCTCCTTCTGTTTGCCTTCGAGCAATTTCTCCTTTTTCCAGAGTGAGTCAGCTCCCTTATTGCTTTTCATTCCTGATCTGCTCATTTCCTACTGGAGGCCGTCTCAGGCCCGGCGTGCCGGCGTGCCGGCGTGCCGGCTCCTGGCTCAGTACTGAGCATGCTCATGAAAACCTGTGCAAGCCACACGACCCCAGGGCCAGGAGCTACTCCTGCTCTTTTACTTACAGACAGGGCAACAGAGGTACTTCTGCAGCTATGAGCCACCCCCCTGGTACTTGGGGGAGCAGATACAAGCCCTATGTACCACATCCTTGCCCAGCAACCTTCTGCTTGTGGTCCCAGGCACATCCTCAACTACAAGGTCAGCCTTGTGGTAGGGAGGCCTGCAGAGCCTGGTGCCCCAGTCTGCCTTGCCTACAGCCTCCCTACCCCGGACCCCAAAGCCAATGCCAATGAGCCTGGAACCAGGGTTCCGTCAAAGCCCCAGCTGCACAGGCCAGGGATATGGAGGTGAGGGCTCCTCTGGCTGGCACCCACCCACTCACTCAGAAGAATCTGTCTGCTTGGTAGCACTGGACTTTCAAATCCATCTGGATACCCTCTGTCTCATTTTACTTCACAAGGAGGAGCCTGCTGTTCCTTCTCGCAGCCTGGCTGGCTGGATGAGATACTGGACGCTCTCCCTGGCTGCTGGGGTGAGCCCCAGCTCACTCATGTCCGAACACCACTCCCTCCCTGCTGGAGAACAAAGTGAGATAGCAGGCCCTTCGCAGCTGCACTTACGCAGCTCAAGAGATGTGCTTGGCTGCCCCTCACACCTCCAGCTCTGGCAGCTGCAAGCGTCCCCAGGGACTCTCAGTGCCCCTGTACATACCCAAAGGCCTCACAGCGCTTCTGGTAGACGTCCACCTGGTGCTGCAGTGGGGCAGGATCACTCTGGCCCAGGCGGTTGACATCAAGAATGGCGACGAGGTTGTCCAGCTTATAGAAGCTGGCGAAGGCCATGGCCTCCCACACGGAGCCTTCCGACAGCTCGCCATCTCCCAGCAGGCAATAGACGCGGTAGCTGCCAACAGAGGTGGGACATTGGGGGCTGCTCCCAGACCACGTGCTCTATGGGCAGGATCACATGTGGTCGTGCAGAGCAGGCACGGAAACAAGTTATTGGGCCAGAGGTTCCGCCCCCTGGCAAAGATGCTGCTTGGGACACCTCCATGCTATGTTAGAGGGCCACCTGCACAGCTTGGGAGGCAGCAAGTGATGGCTCAGTTAGGTCCCTGCATCCATGTGGGAGATCGGATGGAGCCCCTGGCTCCCTGGCCTTTATTTTGTCCCAGCCCTGACCGCCACAGCCAGGCAGGGAGTGGGGACCATCAGATGGAAGATCCATCTCTCTATCCCTCTCCCTTTCAAAGAGAAAAAGAAAATATTTAGTTGTTAAAACATAAAAAGCAAGAACGGCTCCCTCTCTGGGCCAGGATGAGGGTCCTGGCAGGGCTCGTGCTGAGTGCGCTGTGTGGAACCCGCTCCTCTAACTCAGCATACTCACTACCTTCCAAAATCTGTGGATCAAGACACAGGTTAGAGGGTCGAGGGTTTTGAGGACCATGATATAGGGCCCCATGGTGGCCTGGCCTGTCTGCTCCCTGCTATGCAGAGACACAAACAGCATGAGCTGGGGCAGGCCTTGGGGATCTACTTTTACCCTGCACAGCGTGCAGCTTTGTCCCCAGGGGATGAGGCTGGTGCCTGGTCAGACTCAGAGGTGGCGCAGCTGCCCTCCTGCTGCAGGCAAGGGCCTCCCACGGCTGCAGGATTAGCGGAGCAGGCCTGTGAGGCCTTCTTCTACCACTCTGGGTAGGCCCAGGCCGGACCAGCAGGGGGCCAGAGTCAGCATGACTCGGCACTTTTGCAGGCCTCCAGCAGGGGGCGGACTCCCGCACCCTCCACCTGGCCAGCTGGACAAGGCCAATTGGGGATCCCACGTTTCAACTATAGGAAGCAGGTAACTAACCAGCCCCCGAGAGGGGACTGAAGACTGAGACAATCAAAATAACTACCTTGAGGGGATGAGTCAAAGAAACTAATGGTGCCCATCCCCCCTAGACTTCTGGCTTGAGGCTAAGAGGGCAATCTCAGCACAGCTTCAGGTGGAGGCTGGACCAGGCTCGGGACAGGCCGGTGTCCTACGGTGCTGGGAGACACGGAAAGGGGGCCCAAGAAGGCTACACTAACCCTGTGCTGCACGCTGTCCGAGCTGTTGGATTTAGGGGCAGGCCCTACAAAATGCCCTTGGTGTGAACTAACCCGAGGGGAGGAGAGGAGCTTGAAGCAGAAGGTCAAGGTCGTTTGCATCCCTGCTATTTGGAAACCACCTCCGATGTCCAGCCACAGATGGCTGCTTTATAGCATACCCCAAGACAGAATGTGACACAACCCTGCAAACCAGCTCTGCGCACCCACGGCAGGAGAAAAGGGACATGGCAGGGTTTTTTTTGGTAAAAACAGAAGATCAAGTTACATATGTACCAGGACGGCACTACTTAACGTGTCTGTTTTTTTAATGATGATATGGAGGAAACACACAAACATATTAGATGCTAGCCACCTCGGCGTGTCTGGATGGGTCTGATAATCTTGACGCCTTGCCACCACCCCCACTCGAGGCAGTTTGAGGGCCCAAACCTCAGCCAACTTGGTCCCAAGCCACTGTGCTTCTGGGGAGAGAGCTAAACCCCTCTCCCTACACTAGGCTTGTTCCATTATGTTAGGGTCAGGCCGTGATCCTTGGCAGGGAATTATTTCAAGCAAGTGTAGAGAGCGATTTACTCACAGCTCTGACTCTGTGCCAAGTCCAACTGTCCCCAAGCACACAGCCCGTTCTGACCCCCTCCATCCTGGTGAATCACCTCTGGATGTAGTTTAGTCTGCCCCAAGGACTGCAAGTGACCCAGGCCTGGGGTGTCAGGAAGGGACCCCTGAGGTCTGTTGGAGGGAGACCCAGCTTGGGAACTGCTGCACACAGCAGGGGCTCCCCCAGAGCAGCCTCCAATACAGACCCCCAGTCTTCTGACAGTCCAGGCTGCGACCCTGCTCCTAAAGGGGGCGGGTGGGCTGACTGCTCCTTCCCGCCCCCCAAAGGGGCCTAGTAACTCCTGGGACTCCCCAGGGACCTTCACAGGGCAGCCTGGTCACTCTGAATATGGACTGCAAAATCCTCCCATTGACTAGGTCAAGCACCTTACCTAGTTTTCTTGTAAGAGGGGTGGTAACTGGACCTAAGCCACTGTGTCCCCAGCTCCCAGGGGACTTTATCAAACAGTAGAAGCCAGGGAGGGAGCACAGCCAGGGGGCCAGGAACCAGACTGCACTTGCCAACCTGTGCCCCAGACAGCAGGTGAGACCCCGGGTCACAGCACACAGCCACCCGGGAGCTCATACCTGCATGGGGTGGTGAACCCCCCTCTCCCCTGACCAGGCCACTCCCCAACCATTTCAGGTTCAACCTCCCCAGTATTTGCTCCTTATCCAACTGATAGCAGCTGGCACACAGGTTGCCAGAACCCATAACCCAACCCTTTCCCTCAGATAAAGACAAGTGGCTCAAGTCAGGGCCCCTGGTGCTGAACTGGGTCTGTGGGGTGGGGACGTAGGTCCAGGCCCTGGACTTGTAACTCACTCCATTCTGGACAGATTCCTCCTCTCTTCAATGGCTGGTCATGGCCCCAACCTCCACTGGTCCTTAGGACAATCCCCCTAATAACTACCACCATCACTCCCAGATACACATAGGCAAAGGAAAGTGCCCAGGTCAGAGGACCCTCCCAAAACTAAGCATGGGAGGGCAGGGAGTTGGGTAGGGTGGCCCTTACCTGGCTTTGTCGAAGTACTTGCCGGTGTAGGCCATGCCACACGCGGCCCCCAGGCCCTGGCCCAGGGAGCCAGTGGCCACGTCGGTGAAAGCCTGCTTCTGTTAGGACAGAGGGCCACGGTCACTCATAGGATGGTGAAATAGCAGTAAGGTCCCAACTGGGGCCACCCAGCCTTCTCAGCCATCCCTCCTCCCACCTAGGAGGGGGCTAAGTTCCTGTATGTGTAAGTGGACACCACCTCCCCAGGTGGCAGGGAGAACACACAATCCCCAAACACCCGCTGCCTTTGTCTTTAACACCCCTGTCCCCCTGAGGTCCTGCGAGGCCCAGGACCCCTGCTGGGCACACTCACCGGGACAGGATGCCCGTCCAGGTCAGAGCTGATCTTCCTCAAGTTCAGCAGCTCAGCCTCAGGCAGATAGCCGGCTTCCGCCCAGACGGCGTACAGGATGGGAGCTGCATGGCCCTGCGTAGGGACAGGGTCGGATACTTGGAGCTATTCCCACCACAGTGTGAGCCCCAGAGCCACACCAGCTGGAGGATCCATCCCAGGGAGGAAGCAAGCAAAGGCCACACCCCCCTTTCATTACTCCCCAGCCTCAAGTTTCCACAGCCAAGGCTGCCTGGGCACCGCAGACAGGCGCAGGGGGCACAGCTGGGTACAGCGTGGGCCAAAACCCCGGCAGGCAGCCGGCTGTCTTAATCCCTGGTCTCTGGCATGTGGTCTGTTTGGACAGACTTCTAAAGCACGGAGGGCTGCCGAGCCAGGCCCCGGGGACAGGTGGATTCCGGGGTTTTGTGGCTGGGATTCTGAGCTGCAGAAGCAGACCAGAGTCACCCCCCACCCCCACCCTGCAAAACCCAGCCGCAGGGAGGGAGCGAGGAGTGCTGGCACCATGCAGAAAGCCACAACGCTGTTACACCAGATGCAGCCTGCCTGCCAGCGCCCAAGCTGGACACTCGGCACTTCCATTGTCCCCTTCCTCATTCCTAGCATTCAGAGCCTTGCTTAAGTCCCTGGGCTCTGCAGAAGAGTGACTGGCTACTCCAGGCTCCCGTTCTTTAACAGCGGGGTCCAGCTGGGAGTAGGGCACTGAGGGACAGCCGGTACAGGCAAAGGGAGAAGTTCCTGGCCTCCTGACATGTGAGACAGGGTCAGGCGTGGACCGGTGGAGATGGAGTGGGGACAGGCGTCCTCTGAAAGCACTCGCTAATGATCCAGGGCCCGGGGAGGGGCAGAGGGAGTGGGGATGGACACCCAGCCACAGGCCACGGGCAGCCAGGGCTCTTACCTTGGAGAGCACGAAGCGGTCGTTGTGCGGGTTCCGAGGGTCTTGGGCCTTGTAGCGCATGGTGTGGAAGAAGAGCACAGCCATGATCTCTGCAGCGCTGCAGCATGATGTGGGGTGGCTGCGGCACGGAGAGAAGGCAAACACGGGTGTCACGGGCCTGCATGCCCGGCTCTGGGCCTGGGAGTGCATGAGCTGTGGAGGACCCCACAAGCCCAGCCCATCAGAAAAGCACTTGTTTTTGCTCAGGGGGATGGGGATGGCTGGGAATGGAAGGACATATAACTCAAGGAGACCACTGTGGATGGCTTAGGGACCAGGGCCTATCACACCTTCCCAGGGGCAGTACTGTGGCTGGGTGGAAGCTGGAAGGTGGCCAGGGACCCTGCCTTCCCAGCCCCCAGGGTGCTGGTCCTCTCTGAAGCTAGGGGCAAAAGAGCTGTGGTTCCTGGAGCTACCACAACCTCCCAGCAGCCCAGCAGCCTGCAAAACGGGGCTGCATGTTCTCCAATTGAATCTTCTGGCTGACCAGACTACTGGGTTTTGAAAGGTGGCATTCCCAGGGCAGGCTTCTATGCAGAATTCAGAAGGTAAAAAGCACACAGTTGGACCTTCTACAAAGTCTGCAATCAGGAAGAAACAAAAACCCTTCTGCCTGGACAGGCTAGAAGGGCTGGGGGTGACCAAAAGCAAGGTCCCGCCCTTCCATCCACAGAGCAGTGGGATCACGGGGTGCCCCCTTCCCACGTGAACAACTGAATGGCTACCAGGCAAAGGGTTCAACACCAGAAAGTGCAAGGATTGCATCATTAGAGAAGCCAGCCACATCAGGTCGCTTCAGAACCACTTGTGTCATCAGTCTCTAGTCCAGATGCAGGCGCGGTTCCTTGCAGGGTGGGACTGCAAGGCTCAGCTGGCCTGGAGACCCTGCGGTCCATGTGGTTGCAACACGACCCTAGGCTCAGGGCACACAGGGCCACCCAGCCTCCCCCGCGTGCAGCCCAGTCAGCTCAGCCCTCTGGCGCTGCTTGTCAAGGCTCTTTACACAACATGGCCAATGCCAAGCCCAAGGGTACATGCAGCATCTGGGCTCCACACCAGCCCCCTCCCACTGGGGTTAAGGGTGAGTCACTCCCAGCACAGACAGGTTAGTAGAGGAATCCAGCAAACTGTCCATGCTGGTTTAGTATCCACATTCCCCACACACTGTCCTCTGATACTTAACCATTTCTAGGAACTCCTGGCCAGGGGGAAAAGACACTACACCTGAAAAAGGGAGGAGGTGAGGACATGTCAACAGAGACCCTTTCCTGTGTGTGTGTATGGCGGGGGGGCCCTCCTGATCCTTCACCTGCTGAGACTTGGGCTCAGGAGTCTCCTGTTTAACCACAGCAGGCTGCTCCTCTGCCCCTCCCATGCCATAGGAGCCCCCCCTTTGCAGGCCAGAGTCGGGGAACATGTGGGTGACTACTGAGCCAGAGGATTGCTGGAGTCAACCCCACGACCCATCAGGGAGGGTCTCTGGGTGGGAAAGGGTGAAGCACACACAGCACTTTTGGCCAGTGGCTGACTTGAGCTCAGGCCCAGTGGGAGGAGCCTGGAGACAAGCACAAGGTGGGAAAGGAACTACAGCAGCTGATTTTTCCCTCCCCAGCCCAGACATTCTGCAGTCCCCAAGGTTGTAGCACTACCCTGAGCTGCACTCTTCAGTACACAGCTACAGCCTCAGAGGCTGAACTTTTCCTGTAACCCCAGCTCACCTGGGCGGGCACCTGCAGGAGGAGGCCCCACCCCAGGTGCTAGGTAAGACACACCTGTGGCTGCATGCAGCCGGGCTAGGGACGGGAGCCCTGGAAGAACTGACTGCAAGTCCTTCCCACACCTTTATGCCACACACACAAGCAGCTCTGCCTGTCCCCAAACCTTCCCCTTGGCTCGAAGAGACTATATACAAGCCCACTTGGTTCTGCTGGGGTGGCTAGGTAGCAGGGGCGCGCGTGCCCACTTGCTCACAGGCCAGGTGCAGGAGAGGACATTTCTGATGAAACTGGTGGGAGGCTAGCCTGAAAAGCAAAGCAGTATTTACATATCAGTTACCTAGTTGGGTGGGGCCAGCCCTCTCCCCTCCCAGGGCTATTATGGAAGTGATTTCAGACCCAGAAAGCCCTGCACCCAATCAGCAATATCCTAGAAATATTGTGGGAGAGGCGGAAGAGCAGAGGCCCACACCAACAGCCCTAAAACTCCAGCAGATGGGGCAGGGGCCGGCAGGTGTATCCGCTTCAGTTATTTCACTTTGCCAGTTTGCTCCTCTCAGTCTCCTGTTTTCTTACACAAAGAAGCCCAGCGTATCAGGGCCCATCCAATTGACCTCAGACATCCCAGTCTCCACCTTCTTCTGGGCGTTCCCCAGCCAGAAGGATCTCACCAATTCTGTTAGTGCTTACTCCACCTGCTCACAGCAAGATCCCTCACCCTTGGGCGGGGGAGCTCTTTCAAGAGATAATGAAGAAAAAGTCACATTCCTTGCAGAAACTAGTTCAAGTCCCACTGCTCCACTTCTGATCCAGCTCCCCACTACAGCCTGGGAAAACAGCAGGATGACCCAAATCCTTGAGCTCCTGGCTCCTGGCTCCTGGCCGTGGACCAGCCCAGCTCTAGCTCTTGTGGCCATCTGGGGAATCAACCAGCAACAGATAGATGGACGATATCTCTCTCTGTCCATGTAACTAACTTTTAAATAAATAGATTTTAAAAAGAGATCTTGGATATCAGCTTCCATCCACAAACGGTTCGCCCATCCCTGCAGACTTGACCTGAATCAAGCAGGGTTTCCAATGAGTGAACACACCTGGGAACTGTAATTGATCACAGCCTTACCGAGGCAACTCCCAAAGCTCAAAACTACAAAAAAAAGTGGGGCCAATGCATGCTATTGTGCAGTAGGCTAAGCTTCCACCTGCAGCGCTGGCATCCCACATAGGTGTTGATTTGTGTCCCTGCTGCAGCTCCATTTCTCATCCAGCTCCCTGCTACAGCCTGGGAAAGCAGCAGAGGATGGCCCAAGTAAGTGCTTGGGCCCCTGCACTCACGTGGGAAACCCAGATGGAATTGCTGGTTCCTGGTTTCAGCCTGGCCCAGCCCTGACTGTTGCAGTCTTTGAGGAGTGAACCGGAAAATGGAAGATCTGTCTTTTCCAAACTCCGTTATTCTAAATGGAACTTGGGGGCTAAATTCAGGTGGCAAAATATATTCTGAATAACCTGGAAAAAATAAATTTTAAAACAGGAATATTTCTAGGAAAAAGTAATTTACCAACTGATTATAACAACAAAACCAGAAAATTTGAGTAATATTTTAACCATGAGGCAACGCAAAAATAATGTGCTGAAGATGCACATTCCCAAAGACCCAGCAGCTGCACTCGTGGGTACCAAGTGGAACATTCATGAGCAAGCACCTAGGAAAGAAACAGGGCTGGCCCACTGCGTGGACAGCAGCAGGGTCTGGAGTCACCCCTGTGCCATGCAGGACAGCCTAGGCACCATGTGCACCTGTACCAGAAGACACGACAGAAGTGAGCCTACCTCAGGGTGACCTTGCCTCACAAAGCACCATGCTGAGGAACCCCACCGGGGAGCAGGGGGTCCACACCATATACAGATGTATGCAAGTGGGGATAATGGAAAAATAATGAAAAATTGAGGGGGCAGTTCTTTCTGGGAGAGGTGAGGAGAGACACCCAGGTGGAGCTCCTGGCTCCTGCCTGATCCAGGCGTGGCCACTGTGATCATCTGGGGAACAAACCGATTTTTTTCAAAATCCTACATTGTCTTCATTCTGGGGGTGGTTACCTACAGGGTCATTATTTTTTTCATTTGAAAGGCAGAGATTTGGCTCACTCTCCAAATGCCCACCCCAGCCAGGGCTGGGCTAAGCTAAAGCCATCTTGGGAATCAATCCAGATCTCCCACATGGATGGCAAGGATTCAAGGATGTGAGCTATCTTCTGCTGCCTTACAAGGTGTACATGAGCCAGAAGCTGGAAATGGAAGCTGAATCAGGATTGAAACCCAGGGACCCTCACCCAGGGAATGCAGGCGTGCCAAGACTGAGCCACCTAACGCCCGGAGCTGGCTGCTACCTGACAAAGACCCCTGGTGTCTGCCCGAACCTCAGGCTCCTCTCTGTAAAATAGAATGAGGCGTTGTGTACCTACAGTGTGTCGTGGTGTACAGGAGTTGGCACTGTGCTCAGGAAATGGGGCCTTGTGTTCCTGCCGGTAACTAGGTCTCACCAGGTTTTGTGCACAGGCCTGCAAGACCAGCCAGCAGCACAGTGAGGCCACGTGCAGCCCGGTGACCAGTCGGCTGCAACGCACCATCACACACCTTGGAAGAGCCAGATCTGACTCCTGCCACCCCTAAAAGCAACACATGTACATACGATTGGTAGTTCCAGGGAACTGGGGAGCTGGGGGAGAAGAGGGGAAAGCACTGGGTGCACATCGGGAAGATGAAATCTCTGCATTTGTTCAAGATGCACATGGCACCTCAGTAAGGTAGCGAAAGGTTTATTTTTCAAAGGAGGAAAAAAGTGCAAGTCAGGCTCAGTTCCCAGGTACCCGTCCTTCCCTCTCCCACTATACAGCCTTCAGCCTACAAGGGCCACTGACTCTGGGGCTAGATGCCCCCCAGTCCCACCAGGGGCCCTGTGCACCCCAACCACCCTTTATGCTGACATTGGGGCCAAGAATGAAGTCAAAGTCTGCCTAAGGGTTGGGCTCTGGGCAGGTCCTTGCCTCGAGGCATGCTCCAGGCATGCAGGGCAGATAACAATGGAAGGTTTTGTGGGCGCAGGCTGGCCTAAATCAGCTAAGTCCAGGGGTCAGAATTAGCCTGTGTCAGCCAGACCCTAACCCAGGGGCTGCACTGGGAATCCAGTGCTGGCCTCGGCCATGCCGAGTTCAGAGGTCACTCGGGCAGAGAACTGAGTCGGCTGCCCTCACATTGGGTTGAGCAACACTTTCCTAGCTGCTAATGCCACCATGCTGAGCCAACCCCACCACACTGGCTCTGGCCTGAGTCAGCCTAAGGAGGCCCTAGGGGAGAAAAAGACCTGGAGGGCCTTCTGAGCCCTCAGCCTAAACACTGGCTAATGCTGGGGTTGGGTGACAGGTCGCTGCCACTTCAGTGCATGTTGGACACCACAATGTGGTGCCAGTGACCGCAGAGGGTGGGGCCCAGCCACACTCCTGAAGGACCCGGTTTAAAAAAACATCACCTGTCCACAAACTTTTTTTTCAAGAGGTGAACGGGCAGAATCTGCTTAAAACAGGCAAAATGCCTTGATTCCTGGTGTCCTAACACATTCTTCCCTGCAGGGCTGGAGGTGGCCAGAGCCTTTGGAGGATGATGAGGGAGCAAGGATCGGGGACAGACCCTGTTGAAACTCAGACCACCACCTTCCTCTTGACAGCAGCCCTGACACAAGGCCTGGCCCAGGAACTGCAACGCAAGCCTGCCAGACATTGAAAACCGGGAAATCTCTGCCACCAGGCTGCCTGGTTTCACTTCTGAAAGCCTGGAACAGCAGGGCCCTGGCTATGCACTTTGCTCAGCACACAGTAGGAGATGACCCCAAGAGAAGCTGTGGTGGCTACTGCGGGCACAGCCACCGCCTCGACAAAGAGCCCTCTGTGAAGGCTCCGTTCCTCCACCTCGGGGCCCTCAGTGTAGACACAGAAGCCAGTGTCTGCACCTCCCAGAGCCAGGCGGGGCCCGCTGCACCCAGGGTGGCCTAAGCCACAGGCAGGAAGGCAGCACCTTCCCTACCCATGAAACCAACAACAGTCCAAGTCCTCCCTGGTACAGTATGAGGCAGCCTCAGTGTGTGACAGCGCCCAGGTCACCAAGTCCCTCAGCAAAGGCGAAATCCTGAGAGCACTGCTGTGGTAGCTGCCATAGCATCCCAGACTGGGATGGGGGCCTCGGGCGGAGTCTTCACCAGGGCTGGACTACGGGTGGTGGTGAGGGAGGAGGCGGGGCCCTGAGAGCACAAAGGCCCGCCTGGGGCTCAAACCTGCCTCGGTGGCTGTTAGCACACAGACTGCCTCTCCATTTCAAAATTCCTCTTGTGACATGGGTTGCACAGGCTCACTGCTACTTCCTTTTAAAATTGAACTTTCTCTAGTAGTCATCTCGATGCACACATATACAGAGTAATCACTGATGTTACAAACTCCCTCCCTTTTCTCCCTGCAAACTAATACTGGGAGCTCAGGAATGGCTACAATGTAGCTGTGGGCTTCACTCTCAAATGGTCGGATGTCAGGATGTCACAGAACTCCTCTTCGGGAGCTCCCTGCACTTTCTCCAAGTGCCTTTCCACAGGTGCACATCTCTCTGGTATCCCTGCACTCTCCAGCCTGTGCACCTGCTGGGCAAACCTGCTAACTCCAGCCCCAGTGACCAGCTTGTCCAAGGCCTATAGCACTCTGACCTCAGCTCTCACTCCAAAAACTGTGAATATTATGCAGCCCACCCCCACAGGCCTTTCTCAACAAAGAAAGATGTTGAGTCACTCAGTGACCTAGGAACTACCGGCAGGTCCTCTGCTGCCTTGCAAGGAGCCTGCATGGGTACCAGTAGTTAGCTGGGGAAGTGCTGACTCTCTTAGCTGGACCTGCAGATCCACTGGGTGCCAGGCTGGTGGGGAAGAGCAGGGGTACAAGGAGTAGGCAGGAGATACCCCGCACATCGGACAGGACCTGTATGAACCCACAGAGATAAAAGGTCCAAAGTGTGGGTGGAAGCAGGAAGGGCAACGGCTTCCAAGAGCTGTCCAAAAGGGTATCTTAAAGGCACAAGAGAGTGGGTGCGTGTCCACCTTGATGAACAAAAAGGATTCACTTCTTGGTTGTACGCTCCATAAAGCATTGGTCAGAAGCTGGAATCCTGTCTTTGTTCGGAACACACAAGCTGATGAGGAAGTCTGAGGAAATGGCCCCATACTGCCCGTTAGCCCGGCCTCCCACTAGCCCAAGGCTCCCAGCCCGCAGTCTCCATTTCACAAAGCATCTAAGTGACCATCCCTCCCCGGACCCCAAAAGGTATCTGCCTCAGACCAACTAAGAGTCAGAATGGGGGAGGGACAGTGCACCCAAGGTGGTGCGCCTAGACCTCCTCCTCCACTGGGTCCCCTCCTCCCTGTTCACCCAGGTTCCCAAGTCTTCTGTGCCTCCGGGCCCACTGTCTGGCTGAGCTTTGATCTTGGGGCCTCGCCTTCAACCCGGGTGCCAGGGTCCTGCCTCCACGTGCCGCCGCCCTTCCCCCATCCGCTTCCATGCGGCGCAGCAGCCCCTGCTCTTCCCACTTGGATCCCAATTCCAAGAGGGGTGAGGAGCTTGAGCAGTGACGCGGAGAGAGGAAACTTAAGGAGCAGACAGGCCTGGGTCTCGGAGCCCTCTGGCAAGGCCCTGGCTTCCAATCCAAAGGGCCGCGTGTGACCTTGGGCCACCGATTGCCTCCCCCAGCTGCAGCTTGTGCACAACATGGAGGGACCAATCGCCGGGACTGGGACTCACCCGCCCCAACGCAGCGGGGCAGCAGAGCCGACCGAGGCGCACGCTACACCAGGGCCAAGGCTGCTGAGCCTTGGAAGCCGGGGTAAGAGTGCGCGGCACCGGTAGCGGAAGGCCCGGGGCCACGGCGAAGAGCGCGCCCTCGGTTCTGACCGCGCCCCCGCCGGTGCCCGCGTGGTGGCCTCCGTGCTGCACGGCACGGAGCAACGCGCCGGCGCCCAGCCCGAGCCCCGCGCTCACCCCGAGCCCGCCGCGGTGGTGGCCTGGATGGAGCTGATGCGCAGGCGGTTGGCTGTGTCCTTCAGGGCCTGCAGCTTCTGCTGATCGGGTTTATGGTAGCCTTCCATGGCGAGGACGCGACGGCGCACGATAGCTGGAGAAGCGGCTCCCGAGGTGGCTGACTGCTGCCAAGGCCTCGCGCCCGCGCCGGCGCGCGTTAAGACTCCCGGGACCCGCCTACGGGGCGGAGCTCCGGATCACCCCAGGCCGCCAGCTGCACCCGCCCCGCCCCGCTCAACGGGGCCGGCTCCGGGGCTGCTGCTCTTGGAGCACAGGCCGAGGGGTGCACAGCTCCGAGCTCCGGGTTCTGGGCCCTAGGCTTGGCTGTTAACTGACAAATGGATGTCTATGTCTCTTGCTTCCCAACCCGGTCCTGGGCGGAACTGAGACCCGAGCCTTCACTGCTCCTCCCATACCGCAGCTGAAACTTGGCCAGAGCAATGGAGATCGCAGGCTGGCCTAGCAATTAAGCCGGCTGCGTGCCAGATGGGAGTGCCTGGGTTGGATTCTGGGTCCGGTGTCTTGGCTTCCGCTCCTGATAATGCAAACCCTGAGAGGTGGTGGTGATGACTGCGTGGGATATCCGGGTTGGCTTCCAGCTCCTGGAATGAGCCCTGGGAGACTTTGAGGGCGTTTTGGGGGGTAGTGTACAGTGAGTAGGAGCTTCTCTCGCGTTCTTTCTGCCTCTCAAATAAATAATAATAAAATCACAGTATTGGAAGTGCTGAGCTGTGCCTCTTATGGAATACCCCGGGGCCCTAGGGGACTGTCCAAGCGGCTGAGAATGCTAACGTAGCTGTGATGGTAAGACCAGCAGGTGTTTGGCTCCCAGATGTCCACTCAGACCCACATGTAACATAGCTCCCAGCTCCAGCTGGCCCTGCCCACAGAGGCTAGCCCTGTGACATCTGCTGGTTAGGAGTAGGGACTGCGGTTGGATTGGCCCCAAACTGTGCATGCCCTCCTCAGAGGGCTGGCAATGCTCTCTGACCTTGGGCTGCTCACTGGTAAAGGCCACCATTGCTTGAAATCAAAGTGCCACACCTTCCAACAGTATGTCCTGGGGGTATGCTTGTAATCAATTTTAAGCCTCTGTTTCCCCAACTGCCCCACCATGGCACTAGGGCTTTGGTAGTCATGGAGATAAAAACGTTCCCCACTGAGGGGTCTCATCTGGTACTCCGTGTTGGGTGGGTGGGGGCAGCTCATCCTGGGCTTCTTTCATCATGCTTCAGGAGCTGTGCATCATGTCTAAGGTCAGCTTTGGAACAGAATTCTAAGCAGGTTGCAGGCATTTCCCATTTCCCACCTCTCCCAGGTTCCAGGACATTTAGAAGATTTGGGTCTTCCCTGGCTTCCCACTGACTTCTCCCACCTGCTTCTGGCCTGCTGCACTCACCTCCCATCTCTCTTCCAGCCTGGCTCTCCCCATGGCTTAATTCCCAAAAGGTCTCACTCCACCCTTTGAATAAAGTTCAGGACCCGTCCCCCAACATGCACATACACACACACACACCTCTCCTGCCAGTTCCCTGTCCACATGCCCCATTACTGATTCATTCTAACCACACTGGCCTTCTTGCTTTCCTTAAGGAACAAACTCACTCCCACCAAGAGTTTTTTGTGCCTGCTGTTCCCTGAATCAGCCATGCCCTTCCTGCAGCTTCAGTGGCCATGGCGCCTGCCTCAGCCTCTGCAAGGTTCTCCTGTCCCCATTATCTCATGCCAGCAACAGGAGAGCCAAGATACCTCCTCTCCTCCCTGGTTCTCCCACTAGGAACAGTGTCACATACACAGTGGGATTCCTATAAATGCTTGTGCAATGAATGTTATGAATATGAAGGGCTGAGGCCGAGATCCCATGGCCGGCAGGTGCCAGAGCTGACCCAAGGAGAGAGGGCATGAGGGAGCCCCAGGGGAGGGAACCTGGCCACTCCAGCCCTCCACACTAGCCTTTCCAGGAGGTGAGACACAAAGGTGCTCTGTTGGCAGGTAGGAAGTGGTACAGGTGTCCTGCTACCAACATCAGGTGACAGCAAAAGCCACAGGGACTTTTAGAGAGCAGAACCATGTGCTGCAGCCCCAGCCATTTCCCAGGACCCATGCAGCAGCCAGACAAAGGGCACACTCAGTGGAGTTAGAGGAGTCAGTGTCAACCCCCTAGGAGTGTCTCCTCTCCCCACCCACCAAGAGGGATTGGAGGAAGAAATTGGGTGTAGGTGCAGAGAGGGCCAGCACACAGCCTCCTATTGTTAGTGGTGCATGACACAGGGGTGGCTTTTGGTCCCCAGGGCTATGGCTGCCTGGGGCAGAGTGGGTAGCTGCACAAGTGGGAGCTACACTTGGCAGGGAAGGGTGATAGAATTGCTCTATACCTGGAACTGGAGGGGGTCTTGTCCCCCAAGCTCTGGGGGCTGTGCTTGAATTGTGTGTGAGAAAGCCCAAGTCTGAGAAATAGCTCACTACACACACACACACACACACTGTTATACACCCATACTTCCACAACTCTCACACACCCTGGATCCCTCACATACTCACACCTGCTCACACACACGGAACCTCCTGCCACACACACACCCCTTCCTTGTGCTGTGCTAGACTGCATGGCACTGCTGACTTTAGTCAAGGCCTTTCCCCTTGGCTGAGGCTCAGGGCAGAGCCAAGGTCTGCTGCTTCTTGTGAGCCCTGGGGAAGTGGCCACATCCCCCGACACCACAGCCCAGGCCCTCCCAGCAAACCATTCCTTCTCCACCCTCACCCTGCTGTTGCATCTGGGAACTCTGTGCCTGGGAGAAGTCCCAAGGGAAGCTGCCGTGCAACCACATGTGCGATGGTACAGGCCAGGGGCGGGGGCTGGCCCAAGTGTGGGCATTTCACCACCTCACAATGAAGTCTGAATCTCTTGGACAGGGGCTTCTTCAAGGTATGTTGCTGTTGGGCAGAAATAGGAAGAACCCATAGGGAGGGACAACTTTTGAGGGGGTTCCCCAAAGACCAGCCATAAGTGGCTGGGTAGGCTGTAACAGCTGCTGGGAGCAGTCGTTGCACATGCAGATCCCCAGGCACCACATCTGGCCTGGTAAAGCCAAGGCTCTGGGTGGGACCTGGGTCTCTGACTGCTTGGGAGACCCCTGGGCGATTAGGTTGAGGAGGTTCTGCAAACTCTGCTGAGGAAAATACTAGGAAAACTGTTGGGGCTTTGGGTTCTGGAGCTGCAGGGTCCTGGGCTCCATGAGCTCATGGTGCAGAGATGCCCATGGTATCCTGTGAACACTGAGAGCAGGGTCTGGCACGATGGCTCAGTGGCTAAATCCTCATCTTGCATGCTCTAGGATCTTATATGGATTCTGACTTCTCATCCAGCATCCTGCTTGTGGCCTGAAAAAGCAGTTGAGGACTGCCCAAAGCCTTGGAACCCTGCCCCCAGATGGGAGAACTGGAAGAAGCTTCAGGCTTCTGACAGCTCAGCTCCAGCTGTTTTGGCCCCTTGGGGAGTGAACCAGAGGATGGAAAATTTTTCTCTTAGTATTTCCTTCTCTCTGTATATCTGCTTTTCCAATAGCAACAAATAAATCTTAAAAAAAAAAAAAGAATAAGAGTAGTGGACAGATAAGTAGAGGATGAGCCAAAACAAATAGATATGTGTGTGTGTGCACACACCCTGTGTGTGTGCATGTGTGTGTGCGCACACACATGCGTGTTTACCTTGGCCACCAGACAAGCTGCAAGGAGAGGCCTCACGTCTTGGGTGACTTGGGAGTGTGGAACTAAGCCTACTTCCCTTTCTGCTTTACTCCTTTTCTTCTGTGTTGGAATGAAATAGCATGGAACACAGTGGACTCTCATGATCAGAAGAAGAAAGAAAATTCCATCCTGCCAACAAGATGCTGAGGTGGGAGTGGGCCTTGCCCAGTCTGCTTTTCCTCTTCATTTCCCGTGATTATGTAAAGCTGTGCCTGGGTTTCATAAGCCCGCTGCGCCCTGGCTGTTTGTGGGTTAGGAGTGATGCCCCAGGCGGTGGGTGCTGCTGTCCTCACGCAATTCTGACAGAGCTGTCCAGATGTGCTTCTGCAAGCCTATCTGCACAGCAGGCAGCAATGAAGCATGAAGCCCTCACCCCCTCAGCAGCTGCTCTGAGTGACAGCACTGGGCATCGCTCTGACAGGGCGGCCTCTCCCCCTTCCACCCCATCTCCACACTGCTCTTGGGACATGCCTGGACCAGGCATTGTGAGTCCTAGGCCAGTAGAGGGCTGGCAGAGGAGTCAGCATGCACTCCATCTGGGTTCTCAGGACACTTTCTCTGACTCAGACCCGGAACTCTGGCCTGCAGCAGCTTAGGAAGAAGTCCAGGGGAGAGGCAAATGGCCCACCTGGTACCACCCAGTGCTTTGTAAGAAGACTTGCTTTGGACACTGGCAAAGACCTGTGGGTTGAGAAGTATTTTAACAATTAATATTCATGGCTTGCTTCTTTTTATTTATTCATTTGGGAGAAAGACTGGAAGTTCCCATTTGCTGGTTCATTCCAGCTGGGACCTGGAAACTTAATCCACATCCTTGCCCACCATGGGTAATATTGTGCCCAAATTTTGAGATCCCCAGAAATCACCAGGAATCTGAAGTTGATCCAAGTGCACAAGAATGGTTTATTCAAGCTTGGCATGACCGAACTTGGATTCTTGGTTGAGAGCAGGCAGCAGGCAGACCGACCAGCCAGCCGGCCAGGACCAACAACCCTTACTGGAGTATGGCCCCAAACAGCACATTCATAGGATTTTTACAATGGCAGCCCACAATAGCTTGGAAAGGGGAAATTCACAATAGCCTGCAAAGTGAGGGGAAATAGCACACATTCCCTACCTATCTTGGCTGGACAGCCCATGCCTCCAGCAACTAAGGTAAGCACCCACCCAACTACTTGGAGCCACCTGTGAGATAACCAAACATGGGTGGGCCTTGATTCATAAAAATTTGAATCACATAGGCTGTTTGGCCTGCAGGCTCACACAGTTTCTTCGAAGCAATGAGCCATGAACAAATGGTTAGGATTTTGATACTGAGGTTCACCTCTGCAAATGACTGCACTGGTCAGAGATGAGCCAGGCCAAAACCGGGAGCCAGGAACTCTAGCCAGGTCTTC